CCCCTCTCCCCCAAAAAACAGTTGCATCAATTACTTATCTAAAGTAAACATCACAAAAATATGAGACCAGTGAAAATGAACATACCATAACTATAACCACAATATTTTCCTGTATAACCATAGGGACAGTCACACTGATAGCAAATACCATAATAATAATGTGTGTAATAACTACAGGTACCATTATTCTGACAAATATTCATAGAATCACAATAGTCTGAAAATAAACAAATTTCCAGTTTTATTCGTGGATAGAATCGTGAGCTACAGTCATACACCATATAAAGGGTACAATAATCTAATCGCCATATTTTGGAGTACGATAAAACTTATTCCAGCTCTCCAGAATATGGTGCAAAATAGAATAGGTAGGTGTGCTATGAGTAACTTTACTGCGCCTTTGAGTTAAATAAACCAAATAATACGAAAAAAAGAGAATAGACATTTACATGCTGTATTTCACATTGTGATTTGAACAGACACATGTTGATTTCTCCTTATCATTAAGCAACTTACCAATAACACTATCTGTGGTTACTTCATAGTTAGAGTCTGAAACATAAAGTGTACATAATCAACATTGGAACAATTATGACAATTGTCCAACCGCCTTTGCTGCGAAACGAACCAAAGCCCTCCTGTATCAACAATATACATAATGATAATATATTAGGTTTTATCAAGTGGAATCTTTAAGTACATATTATATATCGTTTATTAAGAATCACCAAATTTATCAGGTTAATATACCAATATACCAAGTTTCAAGTTCCGATAAAATATTATCTATATATAAATATTTATACCATGTTTCACAAAGATGTAATAAAATCTTATTTACATATTTATACCAAGTTCTGATAAAATATTATCTATGTCCAAATTTAATACAAAGTTGAACGAAGGTGTAACGAAATCTTATTTATGTACATATTTATTACAAGTTAAACCAAGGTGTAACGAAATCTTATTTATGTACATATTTATACCAAGTTAAACCAAGGTGTAATGAAATCTTATTTATGTACATATTTATATCAAGTTAAACCAAGGTATAATGAAATCTTATTTATATACATATTCATACCAAGTTTAACCAAGGTGTAATGCAATTTTATTTATGTACCTATTTCTACCAAGTTAAACCTAGGTGTAATGAAATCTTATTTTCGTATATATTTATACCAAGTTAAACCAAGATGTAATGAAATCTTATTTATGTATATATTTATAACAAGTTAAACCAAGATGTAATGAAATCTTATTTATGTATATATTTATACCAAGTTTCACCAAGAATTAGATTCTATTTATGTACATATTTATAACAAGTTTCACCAAGAATTAGATTCTATTTATGTACATATTTATACCAAGTTTCACCAAGAATTAGATTCTATTTATGTGTACAATAATCAAAAGTAATCTAATCTAATTTTCACAGAGATACAAAAAATATCAATTTACATGAAGATACCTTGTTTTACTTATATCAATCTTTTCAATAAAATTTACATATTCATTTAATCTTTCACCAATTTCCATGAAAACAACTGATGTCAGTATGCCGCTAGATTTGTCAACTGTCACCCTATCACGATCAAATATTTATTATGAACATTATATTTATGGAAATATCAAACTTACCTGGGGTTGTATTTGTGTCCGATGTAGTTACGTCATGGAAGGGCTCTGATAAAAAAAGAAAGAAAATTGTTTAAAATCCGATAGTTTTCAGTTAAATAACGAGAAATCCTAAAACATATGTTTTGAACCATGATCTAAAGGTTAGAACACATGAAAATAATCGTAAAAGAGCGCAAAGATGGGCAAGTTTGCAATCTTTTATTCAAAGCAGTGTGCGAATGGATAGCTATATGACTTATGAAACCATTATGGTGGTAATTTAATGAAACTTAGTGTGTTTAGTTTCTTGATGTTCTTTTCTGAAAAACGCAATGAATAATGTAATCGCAAATTTTTCATAAAACATTTTAAATTTTGATCCTATTTCATTGAAACAATTATCTATATGTAAAATAATTTGTGTTTTTATTGTGTACATGATTTTGTTTTTGTGTGTTTCTGTGAAATTTAGATTTTTCAATGTACGAATAAATATTATCATTATTATTATTTAATGATAAAAAGGCGTTTAAATCATATTATCTTATTCATCGCCCTAATCCCAATTGAGCGTATAGAAATTGACTTGCCCGAAGATGAAACTACCAAATTCCGCCAATCTAGGGAAGCCCATTGGATCTAGACATTGAATACAGCAAGACCTATAGGACTAAATATTCATCATAATGTAGGCATAGCACCCTTTGTTGTCTCGTTTAATACAACCAGCAATCGAGCAAGCAAGATAGTTCATGCCCACTATAAGAGCCTTCAAGAGAAATTCCCCCATGTCTATAAGCAGAAAATGATAGTTGCATATTCAAAAAATAAGAACTTAAATGATAATATTGTTCATAGTAAACAAACAGTACATAACAGATACTATACTTCTCGCCCATCGGGCGATTTATTTTTTCTAATTTCAGATCAGAATAAGAACAGAAGAAAACCCAATATCAAGACCCTTAATCCTAATTTCTAAATAAAGTGTCTGCTCCACCCTAGGCCTGTGTATTTGGGAGAATCAAACCCTCCCTTCCCCGAAACCTAATGGTATCTAATTACCTTATTCATTGTAAACATTTCAATAAACTATTTTTTAATTCTTTAAAATATTTGAATCTTTGTTATCAAGATCAATATTGCAGTTTAATCTATGCTATCCAACGCATTTTAACATTCTAATTAATCTTCTAATATTTGTCATGACATTATTTTAACCTACAGTTTTGTGTCGAAGCCAAGAAGGTCTAATAAAGCTCCTTGGTCGAGAGTAGTTAATACAAATCCACTTAATCAGTGACTTGGTCAATTATGTAATCTGAATGTCTTAAAAGATGAATTAATTAGTAATATCATAGACATTTATTTCAATATTTTTATAACCTGTATTAGTTTAGTAATCTTTTTCGTCTTTTATTAGTTTAATGAGGTATGTATGAAGATTTTCTAACTTACTTTCACAATTATATCCTTCATATCCATAGGGACAATGACATTTATAACAACCATTACGGTAAGAGTAACATGTAGCACCATTTAAGCAAGGATTAAATGAACATGGGTTGTGGCGATAATCTGTGATTTCATAAATATACAATGTAGCATTATATTAACCAACTGACAATCTAAATATATTTACATTGATAAAAAAAATGTATATTATCATACATACATTACATTATACATTATAACAATACAATAACAAATTATTTTCACTGTTAAAATAGGACTCAATACATCAATAACAGAGCGAAACACAATAACAAAGTTGTAAAATCCTGTAGTAAAATAGTATAGTCTCCTTATCAGAATAAATTATATACAAGAATTATAATTGAGTCGTTGCCAATGTCTACCAATAATGAAACTGTTAAATCTTCTTTATTAAGAACATAAAATGAATAAACATAATTCATAAGCAAAAAATTATGTTAGAATTCGAGAAGATTATGGAAATTAAGATTTTTTTAAAGCACTCACAGCCATTCAAAATAAGATAATGCTGGTCACTTATTCATTTGTATATGGTCTATGACATTTGATCGTACTAAAAGTCAAAATAACTTTAAAAAAAAACTCACTTGTTGTTTGATATGAAGTGGTAGTTTCTACTAAAATTTAAATACAATATAAGATTAGAAATTATTATAATATATCAATATACATTCAAATACTGACAACGATGATTCCGCAAAACTATCAACTTATAAAAACAAACCTCGTGGTATTGGTGGAAATGAGTTCGATATAGCTAACGATTCCCGATGATTGTATCGTAAATTCACAACGGGATTTACTAATGATTCTACCGGACTATATAATAATGACATTTATCAATGAAAACAACTTTCACAATGCAAAGATCTCAATCATCAAAAATATCTGTAGACAACAATCAATACTGTTTTCCAAAATAATTTCGTTCATGCCCACTAAGAAATCTAACATGGATGCCCAAAGCAACAGAGAACTTGACAGTGTAAAATTACATGAATAAACCGACTGCTGACAAATGCTGTAAATGAAAACTCTACTCCCTTTGGAAAATTCAACTGTCTATGGTCTCAACTGTCTATCAGTTTCTCTCAGATTCTGCACTACGTTACGACTTTAGCCCCCCCCCCCCCCCCTCCCCCTAAGTAACAGTTGCATTAATTACTTATCTAAAGTAAACATCACAAAAATATGAGACCAGTGAAAATGAACATACCATAACTATAACCACAATATTTTCCTGTATAACCATAGGGACAGTCACACTGATAGCAAATACCATAATAATAATGTGTGTAATAACTACAGGTACCATTATTCTGACAAATATTCATAGAATCACAATAGTCTGAAAATAAACAAATTTCCAGTTTTATTCGTGGATAGAATCGTGAGCTACAGTCATACACCATATAAAGGGTACAATAATCTAATCGCCATATTTTGGAGTACGATAAAACTTATTCCAGCTCTCCAGAATATGGTGCAAAATAGAATAGGTAGGTGTGCTATGAGTAACTTTACTGCGCCTTTGAGTTAAATAAACCAAATAATACGAAAAAAAGAGAATAGACATTTACATGCTGTATTTCACATTGTGATTTGAACAGACACATGTTGATTTCTCCTTATCATTAAGCAACTTACCAATAACACTATCTGTGGTTACTTCATAGTTAGAGTCTGAAACATAAAGTGTACATAATCAACATTGGAACAATTATGACAATTGGAATCTTTATGTCCATATTATATATCGTTTATTAAGAATCACCAAGATGAAATGAAATCTTATTTATTTACATATTTATACCAAGTTCTGATAAAATATTATCTATGTCCATATTTATACCAAGTTTCACCAAGATGTAATGAAATTTTATTTATGTATATATTTATACCATGTTAAACCAAGGTGTAATGAAATTCTATTTATTTAATATCTATTCCAAGTTTTACTAAGATGTAATGAAACATGGTTGGTTGGTAGATGACAAGTTAACATTGGCTTCCAGCGGATGCTGATATCGCAAATTAATAAAAAATTATTGATGTACATATCTAAACCGATTTAATTAGATTCTATTCATATGTACATATCTATATCAAGTTTAACTAAGGTGTAATGAAATCTTATTTATGTACATATCTATATCAAGTTTCACAAAATTGTAACGAAACCTTATCTATGTACATATTTATACCAAGTTGAACGAAGGTGTAACGAAATCTTATTTATGTACATATTTATATCAAGTTTCACCAAGGTGTAACGAACTCTTATTTATGTACATATCTATACCAAGTTTAACCAAGGTGTAATGAAATCTTATTTATGTATAATTATATTTATACCAAGTTAAACCAAAGTGTAATGAAATCTTATTTATGTACATATTTATACCAAGTTTAACCAAGGTGTAATGAAATCTTCCTTATGTACATATCTATACCAAGTTTAACCAAGGTGTAATGAAATCTTATTTATGTACATATTTATACCAAGTTAAACCAAGCTCTAATGAAATCTTATTTATGTATATATTTATAACAAGTCAAACCAAGGTGTAACGAAACCTTATTTATGTACATATCTATACCAAGTTAAACCAATTTGTAACGAAATTTTATTTATGTACATATTTATACCAAGTTTAACCAAGGGGTAATGAAATCTTATTTATGTACATATCTATACCAAGTTAAACCTAGGTGTAATGAAATCTTATTTATGTACATATTTATACCAAGTTAAACCAAGGTGTAATGAAATCTTATTTATGTACATATTTATACCAAGTTAAAGCAAGGTGTAATGAAATCTTATTTATGTACATATCTATACCAAGTTAAACCTAGGTGTAATGAAATCTTATTTATGTACATATTTATACCAAGTTAAACCAAGGTGTAATGAAATCTTATTTATGTACATATTTATACCAAGTTAAACCAGGGTGTAACGAAATCTTATTTATGTACATATTTATATCAAGTTTCACCAAGCTGTAACGAAACCTTAGCTATGTACATATTTATACCAGGTTTCATCAAGATCTAATTAGATTCTATTTATGTGTACAAGAATCAAAAGTAATCTAGTCTAACTTTCACAGAGATACAAAAAATATCAAGTTACATGAACATACCTTGTTTTACTTATATCAATCTTTTCAATAAAATTTACATATTCATTTAATCTTTCACCAATTTCCATGAAAACAACTGATGTCAGTATGCCGCTAGATTTGTCAACTGTCACCCTATCACGATCAAATATTTATTATGAACGTAATATTTATGGAATGAATTGTATTTGCGTCCGATGTAGTTATGTCATGGAAGGGCTCTGATTTAAAAAGAGTAAATATTGTTTAAAATCCGACATTTTTCAGTTAAATAACGAGAAATTCTCCGACTAAAACATATGTTTTGAGCCATGATCAAGTGCACGAAAATAAAGTAAAATAGTGCAAAGATGGGCAAGTTTGCAAATTTTTATTTAAAGCAGTGTGCGAATGGATAGCTATGTTTTATGAAAACATTATGGTGGTAATTTAATAAAACTTAGTGTGTTTAGATTCTTGATGATCTTTTCTGACAAACACGATGAAAAATTGTCTCATGTAATCGCGCATTTTTCATAAAACATTTCAAATTTTGATCCTATTTCATTGAACAATTATTATATGTAAAATAATTTGTGTTTGTATTGTGTACATGATTTTGTTTTTGTGTGTTTCTGTGAGATTTTTCAATGTACGAATAAATATTATCATTATTATTATTTAATGATAAAAAGACGTTTAAATCATATTATCTTATTCAATATAGTATATCACTAATGATATCTAATTACCTTATTCATTGTAAACATTTCAATAAAACTTTGTTATCAAGATCAATATTAGAACATTTTAATTAATCTTCTAATATTTGCCATGACATTATTTAACCTACAGTTTTGTGTCGAAGCCAAGAAGGTCTAATAAAGCTCCTTGGTCGAAACTAGTTGATACAAAACCACTTAATCAGTGACTTGGTCAATTATGTAATCTTAATGTCTTAGAAGATGAATTTCAATTTCTATAAAAGACCTATATCGGCTGATTGAGAGTTGAGAATTGCAAAATCTTTTCTAATAGAGACCAACATAGAATTAGAAATTTCAACTTTATTTCGATCTTCGCTGGTTTCGCCCCTGTCTGATTAATGGTCTGGTCTTTGCATTACGACAAGGATTACATTTGATTATTCAGTATCTAACTGCTCTCCAACGTCTCAAGGAAAGACGATTCAAACGCAAAAAAAGAAAGCTCATATTTCGACGGTAAGCTGTAGACACTATTACTGATTAGCTTATCTTAATAATTCCCGTTCCTGAGACTAAGATATACGACTCATCAGATGAGGATCGAACGTGAACGTGAAGTGAATACGCGACTTTGATTTACGTTTTTTTGTTTTCATTTCAATTATAACAAGCCTGATAAGTATCATATCTGTACTGACAGGTGGCATTATTCTGGCACGGATTTACCACATCACAAAATTCTGAAGATTTGTGTTAAAATATATAGTAATCAGTATTGCTCTCGATACATTTTCCCTAATTTGCCTATTTCGGGGGTGGAGGCTTTAAGAAGATTTGGTAGGTATGAACTTCGTCATTCCCATTCTTGTCACTGTGGATATCATAAAGGAAAATTTCTTTGTTATGTTTCAAAACAACTCTTCTTGACAATTATACATGTATATTGTGTAGTGGAATATAGTTTAGAATTTGTGGTGATGGCCTTAGACTGAAGTCTCATCTTTCTTTGTACGAGCTGTACGAGCTGTACGAGCTGTACCGTATCCATTGTCAATTACCTGCTAGCTATTTATGATTACTGATACTAGTCTGATAAAGATTTAAAAATGAAATATTTCCTTTCTTGCCTAAATGTTCGGTTGCAATATCCATTAGGGCATAAGTATACCAAAAAGATATTCTGATGGCATGTGTAGTATATCAGACCAAGATCTGACGTCAATCAGAATGCCAATTTCTGTCTTCGAAGAAAAATCTGAATTGTGTCTAAGGAATTTACTGACTATATAAAACAAAGAAAGATTAAACAAGATCTCTTACCGTCATTGGTATAATCTGCAGGTGTAGTATATGCCTCAATAGTACAAAATAAAAGTGCACTTAAAATAACCCCTGAAACCTGAAGTAAATACGAGTATGATTGGATGATGTTCAAGCTATTAGGGGGAATGAGCATGAGAAAAACCTTATCCTCCAAACCAGAAGTCATGGAAGTACCGATAAGAAGGAATAATACCCAACAAAACCATGTTTTCGATGCGAGAACTCTTTGTATTCATTATGTTACAATAGTTTGAAGTGGTACATAGACATAAACCGATCTTGCGACTAACAAAATCAAACGGGACACGGGTGGTTTAAAAACTGGTAGTAAACGTCGGCAGGGAAATCTAATCAATCTCTAGTCGAGTTAGTTGGAAATCAAAAACAGGTGCCATCAGGTGCTCGTGTGGCATTTACAAGTTCGTCGAACTACTGGTCAGAATCTGTAGTGGTCTGACAATTTCACTAATATAAATAAGCATTCAATATTTCCCCAAATCTGATCAAAACTGTAGCCTCTACGGTGGCTCACACCTAGGTGAAAATTAAAGTTTTTAATTCAAAATTACAGGAATTATCACCCAATTTTCACATAGGTGAAAATAATAATCACCTAGTTGAAAATTTAAAGTTTTTAATTCAAAATAAAAAGTGGAAAATGTCGTAATGCCGTAACCCTCTTTGAATATATTTAATAACATAATAAATTCACACTTGAATTTCCACGCCAAAATGAATGAAAAGTAGGTGATAATTCCTGTAATTTTGAATTAAAATTTTTTTGCCGTTCTTTACAAGATGGAGGCTGGACATGTGAACTTTAAAAGTTTTTAATCAAAAATTACTTGAATTTAAGTTTTTGATTTTTAAATAAGAATTACAGGGATTATCACTTAATTTCTACCTAGGTGAAAATAATTATCATCTATGTGAAAAGTAAAGACTTAAATTCAAAATTACAGTAATTATCACAATTTTCACCTGGGTAAAAATTAAAGTTTTTCATTTAAAATCAATTTTCACCAAGGTGAAAATTAAAAATTTTTAATTCAAAATAAAATGTGAAATATGTCGTATGTGAGCCACCTTAGATTTGAAATGATAAATTACATTACCTTTGATAATTGCATATTGCCTTTTCGTGTCTAGAGCCATGAGACGATCAAGGCCAAGTGAGAAGACATATACAATCAATATACATATGTTATTCTTTGCCTAGTTACCAAAAAAACGCCCCATTCCACACCTATATCAATTTATATCCCGGATAAGCAAGTGTGTCGGCAGAAGTTTTGTTGAAAGGTGAGTGGGGGGTTGGGTTGACTCTGTCAAAGATCTTACGGTGCACCCATTTCTATCTTCAATAGAATCAGGCCCGTAACTAAAGGGGGGTGCTCCCCTGGAACTATATCCCCCCCCCCCCTGCAAAATTCGAACAGATTCTCAATTGAAGCCAGCTATTGTCCCCAATGTAAATGCGGCCACCCCTTGTTGGGCTGGTTACGGACCTGAATATGATATATTATGATAATGAAATATGTAATTTATATTTAATTGAGTAATTGATATAATGACCTGCGTAAACAAAGCAATGACACGAGTATAATTATATATTGTTCTTTCTTCCTAGTTGGGTTTTAAAAATTGATATACCCCTGTGAAGATTTATAATATAATTGCTTTATCTTGATCGATTAAAAGAAATATCCCTTAATTCCGAGTGGCGATAAATATGAATAAAATGAAATCTACACCAGTATGATACAATATTTTAATTACATGAAATATAAGTATACCTTATTGTAATTAATCCAATTTCTTGGAAATAGACTGAACTCGTGATCTCAAGACCAGTGAAGTAGACTAACTATTCATAAGACTGTACATTTCCACCTTCATCGCTATATCACTGGCCCCTGATGACAATAATGATCTATCTAATGGCGAGCTTATGTTGTGTTCAAAATTTGCATCATGGTAAATTTTGATGTATATTGACGGAAGAAAATGTCTTTTATGATAGTTTTGCAAGTGAACATGAATAATAAACCTGGTCATTTATTACAGTTACACAAAGAACATGTCGGGGTCTTATATTCCTCTCCTATAGAGGTTTTCTACAAGTGGTAGTAAGGTTTAACACAGTCTGGAAATATTTCCTCTTAGTTTTTATACCTATATATATGATAAATAGAATTCCCAGTTTAATGCAAATTTAAAAGAATTTTATTCACTGAGACTATCATGTGACATAACCTTAGCTAACTATAAATGATAAAATAGAAAATGTCTTTAATTTCAACCTGCTCGGTGTTGTTGTTAATCGAGAATGAACTGGAAATTCCATGTCAAAAAGATACAAATACAAAATTATTTCAACTTCGTAAAATTCAAAAATTCCTTCTAGAAAATCTCGCTCCTTGTAATTTAAAGGACATCCTTTTTAAAATTATTGTTCAACAATTTGGGACAGTTCCAGTTTGAACTCAAAGATATTAAAACGTCAACAAAAACGTGCACATAAATCAATTCTGAATACTTATAACTGTGTCTCCAACAATTACAAAGATCATCTTAGTTCAATGAATATCATTGATTATGCTATTCGACATAAGATTAATTCTGCTGTATTTATACATAATATACGTAATAATTTATGTCCAAGATATCTTTCTAATGTGATTTTTAGTTCTTACTCGTCTATTAATAAAAAGGTAATGTTTACAAAAGAATAGAATAGATCTTTATAAACACTGTTTAAAATATAAAGGTGTAAAATTGTGGAATAATCTACAAGTTAAAATAAGAGAGGCCAAATCAGTTTATTCTTTCAAGAAATTATCTAATCTCCATTTTTGTGGAGGTTTGAAATGAGCATCATCATTTATATTTTTAATTTTGTATCCGACATTTATATTACTCTTTGCTCCCCCTCTCTTTCTACGTGAGTGGTTCTCAATCTTCACACCCTTGGAGCAATCACCTGGACTTTCCCACCACCAAAAATTTGTTTCATCCACATTTACAGCATGTGATGATGTGAGGTGCTTTCTCAATTCAAAATAAATTTTTCTCCTACACCAAATGGCCACACCCCTGACACCCTAGTCCCACACTCCCAGGGGCTGAAAGCACCCCAGGTTGGGAACATGGGTTCTAGATAAATTATAGGCTTATTACAAACTGTACATAAGTTTTTATCGTTGTACTTGTGTTATGTGTTATTTGCAGCTATGAATTTTTATACGGGCTCAATTCTAAAAAGACATTGTCTTTATTATTGATTATCTAATAAAGAAATATTTTTCTATTATTATATCCCCTACATTTTATTGGATTGGCGCTGATGCATTTCAGCATAGAGCTATCAAAACTTGTAACACGGATGGAATATGAATAAGTTGTTCGCAGTATTGGTGAATATTTAACTTTATCATTCCCATAATTTCCACTACACCTGTCTTTTAAAATCAATACAATCATGTTCATAATAAATTTTGTATCATGTTAAGCATGACTTTCGTAAAAGTTGAGCGGTACATGTTAAAAGTTCGATTAAGTCCAACTTTAGTCAAAGTTTCGGTTAAAGATGGGTTCCCTTATTTTTTTTAATATTAAAAAAAATGCTAATACTTATATGAATAGAAAGGACAGGTGTTCTAATGACTTGGGAGAATACTATTTTGTCTCACATATCCATAATTAATTCATAATTAGCTAAATTAGAAGAGAATTACCAGCAGAATTCCATTGAGTGACCGATCAAGAAAGGTGAAAAAATCTTTTTTTTGTTGTTTATCCAGTCTGTGCCTTCATAGACATTTATGAATGTTTAAAATCTTAATTATATGCAATAAAAACATAATGATATGATTAAGGATACATGTTAATTCATTACAAACATCAATTATTCAAATAGTTTGCCTTCAAAATTTGACCTTTTGGTATCAAAATTAGTATAGTTAATTACCCCGGGATTTTATATATAATGATATTCTCGGGATTTTATATATTATATATTTTTTAAAGGAATTGTGCGATTTTTGTACATTTCTAGTACTCCTGAAGACTATTTACATATTAAAGATTAAAATCAACCCCCAAAATGGCGCAACTGTCCCTTTAAAATAAAATCAATAAATTGCAATATGTTATCAAGGCTTCTAAATGGATGAATACATAATTTAATCATCCTATATATATTTATATTTATATTATTAATGTGTGGTAAAAATTTTAATGTGTGATATTATATTTATTTGGTGTAAGAAAAGGATTATTTCTTGTTAGAATTCCAGACTCTCGTCATGAGATTGATAGATGAAAAACCTCGTTGTAAGTATACAGAGGAATTACAAGGAATTGACTTGCCCAACATTGAAACATCGGAATTAAATGGTACTATATCATCGAACAGTGGTATTCATGTATGTAAAAGAAGATGGGCCATATTATGCTTATTTTCGTTATATTCCATGCACAATGCTTACCAGTTTGTACATATGAACATTATAAGCAATATTATGATACGATACTATAACGAAAGTTTACCAGATGATGATAATGTAAAAGCTATGTATGTGGACTGGCTTGCCTCATTATATATGTTGATTTATCCTTTATTTATTCTACCTGGATTATGGTTACTGAATAGATATGGAATAAAAATGAATATTATATTCGGAGTAACATTAAATTGTTTAGCCTCGTGGATTAAATGTGTTGCTGTTCAACCCGACCGATTCTATATCTTATTGATAGCTCAGATATTAAATGGTTTGTCTAATATATTTGTAACAAGTTTTCCTCCTCAGATATCTGCAGTGTGGTTTGGTGCCGATGAAGTGTCCTTTGCTACAGCCCTTGGTGTGTTAGCTAACCAGGTAGGCCTAAAAGTTTATAAAACTCAATTGTCTTCTTGTAGTTCATTTTGAGACAATTAATGAATCAATTAGAATATATGAGTGCTTTCAATACCGACTAATACCTCATATCACCAAGAATTGTTTTTTTTCCAATCGACCCGATCTCTACCAGATTGTCCTCGATCGGCCCGATTGTCGTCTTGAATATCCTCAAATCGTCACATTTGTTGACCCGATTCAGTTCCAACCACTGGATTGTTGCGAAGGGACTAATCGCAAACGTTCCTCGGGCGATCGATTTGCGTAAGTACACAATAAATGCCCTGTCGAAACCCGCTTCTCATCGTAAGTGAGCGTTCCTTACGTTGTTCGGTCGACAGTGACCAAATGTAGGCGTTGGTTGTCGAAGGGAGCCACAGGAAACCGAAAGTAAAAGATTTCCGGACGGTCTTCATTTTGGAATGCTTTGGCCCCGACACTACCGACCATTTTGTATCCGATCAAAGCCGTCGGCCCGTGTTCGTCTTAGTCGTCCGAAGTTCACCTTTTCTCGCTATTGAGCTATCGGTTTATCCTCTAGCGTATGGTCGTGCGTATTTTGGCAGAGTTTAAGCACCCGACCCTCGCCAGATCTACAGACGATCGTCCTACATGTGCCAGATCACCCCCATAGGTACCCGACCTCCGTACTGACGTGTGCCAAAATATCAACATACGCCTAGATTCGGTGACTCTCGTGCAAATAACGGTGGAAGAACGGCAGTTTTTCTTAAATATATATACACGTATATTTTTTTCATTTAAAGTTAGGAATAGCTATTGGATTGATAGTGCCACCAATGCTCGTGCCGAATAGTGATAATTTAGATGATATTAATTTAGGATTGGGTATTATGTTCTATGCGGGAGCTGCAATAGCTACACTAATATTTCTATTGATTTTAATCTGTAAGTAAAATGTATCTTTAAAACTCCACAATGGTTATAATTTCGTCCGAATTAAAGCAAATCAGCAGGACACAAACCTCCATTGTGGTTTATTTCGTTTATCCATTTAAAATCTGTCTAACGTAGTTATAGACGAAAGACGAAAGCAACCTTTACTGGCTTAAACATATCATGTTATAACTTCGGTAAAGTTATCCATGATGTTTTAGATGTGGTCAAAATACGTCGATGTTTTTCATGCAAAAATACTATGTGTTTCAAAATTAGAGCAAAAATGCATGTTGTGGTACACACAATTGGAGGCCACAGAAAACAATTAAATTATTATTAAAAGGGGATGGTATGACTCTAATTTTAAAACCCCCTGTATGATGATCTATATCGTATAATGTTTAAATTATAATTAGATTGTCAAGACGCCGGGCAATTTAAAACTGGATTCTGACACTGCAATCAAAATTGTTTTTCTTAAAGACATTCGGACTTGAACTGCTAATATTTTTCCCTTGTAGCTATAGAAAATAAACCTGAATTACCTCCAAGCTATGCCCAGTTAGCTATTATAAAAGGAATCAAAACCGTAGATTATCGTCATTCATTTAAAATATTAATCCAACAGCCATCATTTATATTCATATCAATATCGTATGGTAAGTTAGTTATACATAAAACTCTATTAATTTCATTTTTGTATATCAGTTTAAATAATTGACATTATAAACCAAAACATAACGGGTCCCAACAAACACCCATGGAAAAATACAAAATTACAAAAATATATAATTTACTATAGCATTTAACTACCGACTGAAAACATTTAAATATTCCATTATCAGGCATTAAATTGTCTTTAAGAGGTATCTCATAATGTAGGTGAGCATTATGGTTGAAATATATTCGCCAACCCAATTAAGTCCACGGACTTCCAGTTAATTAGTTTAGCCCCTGATTAAATGACAGATATGTCGTACTGATATTATAATTCCATTGAAAAGAACAATACTTTTAAAGAGGGAGTGTGTACCAGCTGCAATAAGCAGGAATTGTAATAAAGCCCGGTCTCCCAATTAAATATCATTCTTTTTAAAAAAGAAATTAACGAATGATTATTGTAGGAAGTAATCTTTGTTATATGAACTTCATATGGTTATAATATTTTCAAACACAGTCTGATTTTCAATTTTTTCAATCATTAGATTCAACTTTTTAAACTGTATCATAGATATTTTAAACTTCATGTATACCAAACAAATCGATGCTACTCCCACTTTTACAAATAGTATTCTCCAATAATATATCACTGTAAGAGAAAACAATTCTGGTTTTTATTGTCTTGTCTTTAATCTTCTTGAGTTCAAATGATGATATTTGAAAATCATTGTTCAACAATTAGAAAGAGAAATTCCTAGTTTTAAGAAAATTTTGCGATTTCCTTACATTTCTAGTCTTTTTGAAGACTATTTACATATATATTCAAAACAACGTATCAACCCACGAAAATGTTCATGTCCACATAAATCTAAAGGTAGTTTGCAATGTTTCGCACGGGTACACCATAGTTAATTAACAATAGAAATTTTCACATAGAAAACCTGGTTCTTTTTCAGGTCTTATAACTGGTGTATATTTTGCTATAGAAACATTATTGAATAATATAATATTATACTATTATCAAGTAAGTAGATATTACCATCTAGTAAGTAAGCATTGTTGAATAAAAAATGTTAAATTATCATCAAGTAAGTTAGCATTGTTCAAAGGAATAATGTTAAATTATCATCAAGTTACTAAATATTATTAAAGAAAATAATACTACATCATTATCGACATAATATATGACATAAAGTAACATTGTTAATTAATGCTATAATAATAATATTTGTATGTTGACGTTGAAATTTATTTTAGTATCCTATTATCATCAAACATTGTTGAATTTCAATAATATTATATTATCATAGTACAATATCATATTTGTGTTTATTTAAATTCTTAAATTCTTACTTAAAGTTAAAAAGGCGTACTAAATCGTTACTCGGAGTCTCCAATATTATGAACCCTTCACAGAGTCAATTTCTAACTGCTTAAAGATGCTTTATGCCTAGCTCACACCAACGGCGAATGCCGCGCTTTAAATCGGCGAACAAAGCGCCATCATTTTTTGTTTACTTTTCAAAAAATATCACCTAAGTAATGTTACGCTCTGATAAGCTCTGATACGAATTGGTTACGCTTTAGGGACAAATTATTTCCCGATTTGATCAGGCCTTGTTACGCTTTAAATCACGCTTTGATAAGCTTTATTAAGCTTTGATGC